GGTGGCTCGTGCTTGTAATCCCAGCACTTTGGGAGGCTGAGGTGGGTAGATTACTAGGTCAGGAGATCAAGACCATCCTGGCCAACATGGTGAAACTCCATCTCTATTAAAAATATAAAAAATTAGCTGGGTGTGGTGGTGGGAACCTATAATCCCAGCTACTCGAGAGGCTGAGGCAGGAGAATCGCATGAAACCAGGAGGCAGAGGTTGTAACGAGCTGAGATTGCGCCACTGCATTCCAGCCTGGCGACGGAGTGAGACTCCATCTCAAAAAAGACAGAGGGAGAAATTATATCCAGGGTGGAGGTGCTCACACCTTCCTCGGGGGAACATGTTGGGGATTACAGAGTCCGCACCCCACTCTGAGGGTCTTATTGGGATAGGGATGTCTACACTTCCCTCTGGGAGTGTCTGCACTTCCCTTGAGAGCCTTTTCCAGGACAAGGGCACCACACTTTGCTCCAGGGGGCCCGTCGGGGTTGGGGGGTGTCCCAGTGAGCCTCCCCGCCCTGACACCCTTCCCCCCGACTCGCATGCAGAAAGTGGCCTACACCACGGTGCTGCAGGAGTGGCTGCGCCTGGCCTGCCGCAGCGACGCACACCCCGAGCTTGTGCGGCGGCACCTGGTCACGTTCCGGGCCATGTCTGGGCGGCTGCTGGACTACGTGGTCAACATCGCCGACAGCAACGGCAACACGGCGCTCCACTACTCCGTGTCTCACGCCAACTTCCCCGTGGTGCAGCAGCTGCTGGACAGCGGTGAGCCCAGTGGCGGGGACAAGGCTCCAAACCGGCTGCTGTCCACCATCCCCAGCCTGATAGGGAAGACACCACCCTCCCTGTCTGATGGAGGAGGAAGATGACGGGGGAGGTGTGGCCTTCTCAGTATAGTAGAGGGAACACCTCTCTCCCAGTCTGACATGGGAGATGCCACCTTCCAATCAGATGTGGAGGGACACCTGTTTTCCAGTCTGATGGAGGAGACACCATCTTCTCAGTTCCATGAGGGGGTATATGATGGCCCTCCCAGTCTGATGGAGGAGATGCTGGCTTCCCAGTTTGATGGGGGAGATGTGACTTTCCCAGTTTGATATGGGAGATACCACCTTGCGAGTCTGATGGGGGGGACACTACCCTCCCAGGCTGATGGAGGAGACACACCTGCCTAGCCTAATGAAGGAGACATCATCTTCCCCGTTCATTGTTGGGGGGAGGTGGCCCTCCCAGTCTGATAGAGGAGATGCTGTCTTCCCAGTCTAATGGTGGAGACACCGCCCTCCCAGTCTAATGAGTGAGACATCACCTTCCCAGTCTAACAAGGGAGACATGACTCTTCCTAGTCTGACAGCAGAAACTCCACCCTCCTGGTCTTACGGGAGAGATGCTGTCCTCCCAGTCTGATGGAGGAGACACTGCCTTACCAGTGTGGTGGGGGAGGTACAGGTCCTACCTTTAGCCAGTGTAATGGAAAAGGCAGAAGTAATCTTAGGGAAAAAACGTGGCCCTCCAGCATCCCCAGACACACCTGCAGGATGGAGGTGACGTCCCTGGAGCCCTGGTCTAAGAGAAGGATGCAGCCTCAAGTCTGGGGCTTGGAAGGAAGACGTGGTCCTCAGTTAGGCAGGAAGAAACTTGCCCTTCTACTGGGGAGACGGCCTCCCAGGCTGATGAAGGACGCAGGGCCCACAGTCTGATGGGGGAGACATGGGCCAGTCTGAGAGCAAATGGCTGTTCCAAATTAATGGGTGAGACCCAGTTTCTGTTCTCAGCCCTAAATACGGATGCCCAGCCTCAGGGTCCCCAGATCTGATGGAGGAGGGATCGTCTCCAACTTTAGGAGCCCCTGTTCTAGTGGGGTGACCCAGTGGAGATGGAGGCCTCTGGGCAGAGTAGGGTCCTCTGTCTGAGAAAAGCAAGGGATGGGGGCATGCTAGACTGATGGAGGAGACGTGATACCCACGTTGCTTGGGGTGGTTCACCAGCAGAGATGCCTGGTCTGAGGGTTCACATCACCCCTCTAGGTGTCTGCAAGGTGGATAAACAGAACCGTGCTGGCTACAGCCCGATTATGCTCACTGCCCTGGCCACCCTGAAGACCCAGGATGACATCGAGACTGTCCTTCAGCTCTTCCGGCTTGGCGACGTCAATGCCAAAGCCAGCCAGGTAGGGTCCCTCGGCAGCTGCAGACCCAGGCGGCTCTTCCTGCTTTATGGCATCCCAGCTGGGTGCCAGGCCCAAACCCGGGTGGTCTAGCTCTTCATGGCCAGGCTGCCTCTGACACAGGCCGTTCTTGTGGAAACTGGAAGGAGTGGAGGATATGGGGGTCCTTACCTTTCTTAATATGACCCTGTCCTACATCCTGCTGGACAGTTCATTGAGCAGCAACTGGGTTCCCCAGGCTGGACACTGGGGACTCAAATGGCGAATAAGCAGGCATGGTCTCCTGAAGCTCACTAACTAGCTAGTGCTTCGAGACATACGCATTTCAGGGAGCACCAGGACTCAAGCCAGTATGGACTCAAGGGCTACAGGGAGCCACCAGGGGAGTTTAAGCAGGGAAGTGGCGTGGGCTGATCCCTGGTTTGAGAGCTCCCTTCGGCTGTGTGTTGGAAAGCAGAAACATGACTGTGGAGGTGACTGGGGCCTATAGACAGGTGTCTGTGCAAAAGAGCAAGGAAGGCCAGGTGCGGTAGCTCACACCTGTAATTTCTGCACTTTGGGAGGACAAGGCAGGCTGATCACCTGAGGTCGGGAGTTCGAGACCAGCCTGACCAACAAGGAGAACTCTCATCTCTACTAAAAATACAAAATAAGCCAGGTGTGGTGGCACATGCCTGTAATCCCAGCTACTCCGGAGGCTGAGGCAGTAGAATCGCTTGAACCCAGGAGGTAGAGGTTGTGGTGAGCCAAGATCATGCCATGGCACTCCAGCCTGGGCAACAAAAGCAAAACTCCGTCTCAAACATAAAGAAAATTTAAAAAGCCGGGCGCGGTGGCTCACGCTTGTAATCCCAGCACTTTGGGAGGCCAAGGCGGGTGGATCACGAGGTCAAGAGATCGAGACCATCCTGGTCAACATGGTGAAACCCTGTCTCTACTAAAAATACAAAAATTAGCTGGGCATGGTGGCGCGTGCCTGTAGACCCAGCTACTGGGGAGGCTGAGGCAGGAGAATTGCCTGAACCCAGGAGGCGGAGGTTGCGGTGAGCCGAGATCACGCCATTGCACTCCAGCCTGGGTAACAAGAACGAAACTCCGTCTCAAAAAAAAAAAAAAGCCGAGCGCGGTGGCTCAAGCCTGTAATCCCAGCACTTTGGGGGGCTGAGGCGGGTGGATCACGAGGTCAAGAGATCGAGACCATCCTGGTCAACATGGTGAAACCCCGTCTCTACTAAAAATACAAAAAAATTAGCTGGGCATGGTGGTGCGTGCCTGTAATCCCAGCTACT